AGTCACTGCGGAGGGGGTGAGAAGGGGGGGCTCATAATTCTGTACTGGGGGTTGGGACGCTAATCGTCAGCGAGTCCGAGCAAGAGTTTGCAAGCGGAGCTCCTCGATTACACTAACAAGGGAAGCGACTCCAAGGATAACTTCGCCCAGAAGAAAACGAGCCGGAAGATCGCAAAGGAACATAAAAGGGCATTTTTTAAAGCCAAGCCGTCTGCTCTAGGCCAATCATTGCCCCAGAACACATGCCGTTGTTGTATGTTCTCGACCGACCAACCTGCACTTCTTCTTTAACACGTTTAGTGCAGCTGCGTCTTCTAGGGGTTGTAAAAACAAGAAAAGCGTGACCACATTGTGGTCGTGCCTCACTAAACGCGTTACAGAGAAGTTCAGCAGTGACAACAGTCTTCAAGTCCGCGCAATGCCGGCCAACCATTTCAACACGATTCGCACACGCACACTATTCACCGCTTCACTCAACACCACGCACTTTTTTTTCGTTCCGCTTGCCGTACGTCGTATTCCTCTGACGAGTGGTATCGCACCGACTGCAGCTGTCCTGAGCGCCGGGCCGCGGGCGTCTGTCTGTGCGTCCCGCACCTCTGGGGACGCGCGACATACCGCGCCGCGGCCCACCCCGCCCCACCACGCCCCGCCCCACCCCACCCGACCCAACCCTGCCGCGCCCCACCACACCCATGTTGGATAGCGACCTGGATGTCTCTGCAATCTACAACACCCCATCGACACACAGACACACACACACACACGTACACACACACACACTTGGGTGCGCGCGTGCGCGCAGGAGGGGCATGGACGTTGACTGGACTGACACAGATAAATCTTCAGCCATTAACGTGCACCTATTAACACGCAAACACCCCCAAAGCCGGGCCGGTCGCCGGTCGCCACCGACGGCCGCCGACGGCCACCCCCCGGACCCGGAAGTCAACATTACAACGCGTGGTGAATGCCGTGCAGCCCGCCATAAACAAACCGGCCCAGTGACCCAATACCCGCAACGTTACGCAGGCCGCAGCGGCCGACAACATATCATTTCCTCCATCGTCGTCGTTGTCCCCAAACCACCGGGTCGTCATCACGAGAGTCCCCGCGCTCATCATGCCCAGCCACACCCTCATCGGGGTACGTCCTGTCGAAGCTAAGACTAGAGCAGTCAGGTGCACCGTCGTCACCACCATCCTATGCTCCTACGTCACAAGCTCCATCATCGTCACCACGACTTCCGTTGACGTGAACATCGTCTCCGCGCGGCCACGTCCCGTAGTTGGACTTGCCCCGCTCCGACCGACCCCCTCCCCCACTACCCCCTCATTCCGGAGGGCGTTAGAGTCCAGACCACGCGAACGGCACATTCGTGTCCCCCTGGGCCGCCTCTCCGTCGTCCACCCCCCGACCCGACGGGGGACGTCAGCCTCCGAGCACCGCCGCGACGGCGGGGCGTGTCGTTGAGGAAACAAACGTCCCCCTCCTCGGCCCGGGTCATTAGTCCAGCGGCCCATCAGGTGGGCAACCCGAGCTGCACGCGAGTCGGTCCTGCGCGCCGGGCCGGTGCCCCCGCGCCACCCTGGGAGTGCGAGCGAGAGCACCGCCTGCAGGTCCCCGCCCTGCAGGACGCAGGAGTGCGGGCCGGGCGGTGGTGGCGTTGGCCTCCACGGCCTTGGTCGGGTCGTCGTGCCTGACGACGACGCCGCCCGCCGCACGGCTAGTGACCCCGGAGCCCCCCGGCGTGCAAGAACATTCTTAAAGCGAACGCGGCTCCCGAAATATACAAACGACGGCCCCGTACGCGGCGACTTCCCGCCATTTACTTATTTCGGATGGTAAAAGGCTGTGGAGCGTCGTTGAAAGTGGGGTGAGCGCAGGGCGGGGCGGGGTGGTCGAGATGGAGTGCGGGCTCGACGACGGAAAGGAAATAATTTGGGGCATGGCGCCAGTAACTCGGAGCGCGCGGCTCAGCCCGGCCCGCTCGTAAAGATACAGCTGTGCACACCCAGCGGCGCGTGATGCACCCACCGCGGGGACGAGGGTCACTACGGAGCGGGCCTTGAGCCGGGAGGACGCGCACCTGGGGGAACACACAGGAGAAAGAGAGTAGTAGGGCTCGCGGGTCACCGCCGTCCTGGCCGGGCTTCCTCAGACACAACACCTCGGCGTCAGGGCGGCGGCCCCCCTCGGCCAGGTGCGAGCCTTGACCGGAGCCTTGACCGGAGCCTTGGCGCTATCGCCACATTAGGGGCGAGTGTGTGGGCGTGACGGGCGGGGAGGCGGGGCGCGTGCCACACCTTGCCGCGCACGCGACCACTGCCCCACCACGCCCCGCCCCGCCACACCCCGCTACAAACGGAAATTAAACACGATAGAAAAAGGGAGGTGGCTGCTGCTGCTGCTGCTGATGGCAGCTGCTGAGGGGTCGTGTTGTCGCGTGGCACCGAGATGAGGAGCAGGAAGAGGGGAGGACGGAAGCGCTCGCCATCTTCCGCGCGGCTGCAGCAGCGGCCGGCCTTCTCCCTCCGGCAGTGAGATAACGGCGTGACGCAGGTCGGCTTGACCCCCATGGCGCTCAGGGTCGCCCGGGCGGCTCGGGCTGCGGGGGCGTGCGCGCTCCCCTCACATGTCTCTCTCAAGCGCAACACGAGCCCCTTTCGAGCGAGTGTCCAAAAAACAGTGCGTCCGTTTTTCTCAGATTTATTTTTGCAGACTATACTGAGGGCTCGCCGCCTGTGGGGCTCAGGGTAGGCCACCCCGCGGTACATGCGTGCATCGCATGCAAGTTGTTGCCTACCCCCCAGGCGCTACGAGAGCTGGCAGGCGAGAGAGGCTGAGCTTTGCAGTAGCGCAACAGCGAATTTGACAGGATGATCCTAAGTGCAGCATCATTGGGGAACCCCGCGGGGTTTCGGAGGTATACTGTACCGCTTCCAAGCGTACAGGCGCGGTTGCCTACTCGCTTGCTGTAAGGCGCAATGGGCTCGCATGCGGTTCAGTATGACGACAAAAGGGGTTGTCTCCAGTCATGGCGCCTCGGTCTTGCACCCACTGAGCTATATAATCAGGCTCGGACTGGCCCAGAGGGCTGCCGGGCAATCGCCCGGTAGGCCCTCCTCCTAGCGAGGCCCTCCGCCTCGCGAAGCGAGGCCCTCTTAGCCTGGCGTAGCGAGGCCCTTACTCTGGTACATGGTTGCTACGTGTCTGGAAGACCTTAAAAACCAGGGAAATAAAAAACGGTCAGGGAAATCAGGGAAAGCTCAGGAAAAACGAAAAAAGTCAGGGAAATTTGTTCCGATCGGTCCTCACAACCCATTCTATTCGCTGTGTAGGTCAAAAACACATTTTGACGTCCCAGCAGGGTGATTCCTTCCCAAAATTTTCGCGCTCGCTACGCTCGCGGTATTGTTTTCCAGTCAGGCTACAAGCTCCGGCAACACGCGTAAATGCTTAGATGCGAGGTTTTTTGCTTGCCCCTGTACTTCACCAGGAACGGTTTAAAACTTAGGGAAG